CGTCCTCCCGCACCCGATCCGCGCTCTCGTCGGGCAGCCTGTCGTGGACCAGGATGGTCCTGACCGTTAGGCGTATCGGCTCCGGCACCCCGAGGATGGCGGACTCGCAGCTGAGGGCGCGCGCAGGTTGCCGTGGGCAGCAGCCGCTCCAGCGGCCGTGCACTTCACCACGGGAGGCTTAGACAACAACGTAGCCATCACGACTCTAAATCTCACGACCAGGCGGTAAGCAAATACAGAATCCATGTCCTACTTCTTTGTAGGATTTAATTTCTCAATTTCACTTTATTTGTTTTTGTCTTTTTCATTCAAGCGAAGTTGACATTTTGCATCCCAGGCGTACTGGACCGTAATCATGTAGTCTGAATGTCAGTTAAAGCAAAGCAGACCGCAGTGCCCCTAAAAAATGTATGACCTTCTTTTTGTGCGCCCTCGCTGCTGACCCCTGGATGCGAGCATGGCATGAAACTATTTTCACATTTTTGGCCTGTACACAAAAATAACAACATTTAGTAAAAAGTCATTATACTTTAGTAAAGTGTGTTTGGTGGTTATTGGAGAGGAGGTAGGGGGGGTTGACGGGCGGGGGAGGGGGCTGCGTAGCGATCACTCGACTCTGCTGCAGCAGCGCCAGGCCAGTGGGTAGCTGGGTATGCGAGTCACCCGTCACCCTATTGTGGGCAAACAGATGGGGGAACCGTGCTCCGGAACTGAACCGAACCCAAGGTGGGGGTCGCGCGGGGCCCACAATGGGTCCCGGCCCGGCGGGGGGGCCGGGAAAGGGCCGCGCCGGAAGACACATTCAGGTGCAGCAGCGCCGCTGCGCTATACACCCCTCCTCCCCCACCCTCCTCCTCTTCCCCTCCATCTGGGGGATGATGAGTCGCCGGCATAATGGAAAGGTCTGGGGGCCTCTCGGCGTAATCAGGTGGCGGCTGGTGGCGCCTTGCCCTGCCCTGCCATGCCACCTGCTCTGGCACTACCCTGCCCTGCCATGCCCTGCCATGCCCTGCCATGCCACCTGCCCTGACACTGCCCTGCCATGCCATGCCCTGCCTTGCTATGCCACCTGCCCTTCGGCCTTCTCCTCCTCCCGCGACCCGCCATTGTGAGCGCCCGGCCCGGGGGCCGCCCCATCTGCAGCATCTGCCCCTCATCCGCGGTGACAAAGAGGGTCGTGTTGTTGCGCCTCGGGTTCAAAACCCAACCATAGTTTGTCCTTTTGTTCCGTTTTGTCGCCGCCACTACCCGACCTCGCACCCCCGCCCGCGCCCCGCCCTACACCGTACCGCCGCCGCCGCCGCAGTTGTGACCCTAATCGCGAGACTTTCCTGGTGTCTGGCGTGTCGCTGTGGCCGAGAGAGAAAGAGTGAGGAAGAGAGAGAGAGATGGGAGAGGAGGAGCCGGGAGAGCGAGCGAGACAGAGTGAGGAAGAGACAGAGGGCGGGAGGGGTGCGCCCGCCCGGGCTGGGGTGGGACTTGTCGTGGAAGAAACGCTTTGGACCGTTGTAGGGTTTCATTCACCCCCTCCGCTCCGCTCCGCCGGGTCGCGTCCGCAGCGTCGCTTATGCGCCCCTCTGCCTTGCTCCTAGCGAGTGAGTGGGAGTGAGACGGCGCGAGGGAGAGCGGTCGCCGGCTAGCTTCGCGAAAATTCGCACGCGACGGGGGCGGGCCGCGGTGGGACTTATGTCCGCGACACGACACGACACATGACGCCCGCTACATGCTACATCTCCCACCTGCGCCGCATCTGACCCCCGGTGCAACTATTTTCAGCCCATAGATTTGTTCTTATTTACACTGTAAAATATATTTGTGGAAAAAATCCCACAAATGTATATGAAGTTATTTACATGTACATGTGTGGGATTTTTCCCACTGCTGTGTAGGAAAAATTCCGTATGCGTGCAGCAGATTTCTTTGACAGGTGTGGGATTTTTCCTATACGAGTGTGTGGGAAAAATCCTATACGAGTGCAGCAGAAAATATCTTATTTCTGTAGGATTTTTTTGGACTATCTTTTCTCTACTCTATTGTTGCTTGACAATTATTTATTTTTGATATATTATCTAAACTATTTTTTCTTGATTGTTATTTCTTGTGTGTTTTAAGTACCTACTTTGCGATATTTATTTCTGTAATGTTGTTGACGCGTTCGTGTGGATGTCCTTTCTCTTAGGCCGCCGCTCGCCGCCCAGGTGGCTCCCCACGCGCCGCTGCTGGTCGAGGACCCGCCGTCCACCGCCGACGAGGAGGATGACGACGTCCTCCGCGTGGCTGCCGTGGCGGGGGGCCCCGCCCAGGCGCCGCGCTTCCCGAACGACCTCCTCAACGGGTGAGTGCACAATATTTAGCAGCAATGAATAATCATGCATTCGACACATTAAGTCAAGATTAGGAGGACACTGCAGGGTGGTCCACAGACCCCTTCCTTTATTTTGCTTATACTGTACGTACCGCCTGCACGCGTGCGGACGGGTTGCATACTCGCACGGGGCCATAAGGAGTCCATGGTGAGCGATAGTAGACAAGCCCACCCGCACGCATGCATGCGGTACAGTATACGCAAAATAAAGGAAAGGGGTCTGTGGACCACCCTGTATATACTCGTGTGTCTAACAAACACACAAAGTGAAAAGGGACTCGGATGAAATTTTGGGCAAGATTTTTCTGATACTGTGGCTCTTTGCGTGTGACCTGGGATGACATTCGCGAGGCGGTTGAAAATGGAAGGGTTTCCCCCGACGTGCCCTTGAGAGGCATGACCGCGAGGCCGAGTTGAACCTGCGGAAGTTTCCACTTTGCCGCCGCGGCTCTCCATCTCTCCTAGGTCCTCGGTTTCCGGCGCTCCGAGCCGCACCGTCTGAAAACTTTACCATTCTTCGGGTCGGTGAAGGTGAAAAAATGATGAGGCCCGGCAGAAAGCTTTCCGAGGCGCGCGGGGTATGTGTCTCCCTCGCTGGCTGCCAGTGGTGGACGTGCGGTGGCGGAGAGTGGCGCGGCCCGCGGACATACCCCGCGCTCGCCTCTGAGCGCGGGGCGTATTTGCTGTGATCTGCTATTCACAGTTGTCGGACTGAAGTGATATCGTCATATCTCTACCTCTGACGCGCCTATACGCCGAGTGATTCAGTCTCTCTCTCGCCGTTCCCGTCACACAAGTTCACGGTTTTATGTACCCTCCCCTCCCAGTGACGGGCATATATGACGTTTCCCCGACACATCCGCCCCGCTGCTGCCAAAAATAGAACGATTTTGACAGGGTTCGAAAGATAACAATAATAACACCCCTGTTATCAAAGCGTGGGTGGGGTGGAAATTTGCAGCTGTGAAACAGGTGTGCTGATAGGTGCGCTGGCAGGTGCGTTGTCAGGGCAGGTGCGACCCGATACCAGGATGATACACCTAAACATTACACAACCTATCAGTTTGACTCACAATATATTTATTGGCGTCATTTATCCTCGAAGCTGCCTCACTCCTCAGCTCATGAGAAGTAGTGGAGCAGCTATCGGTCCTATGTTGGATTTTTTCCTGAGGGAGTGGTGTCATGTGTGAGTCACACATTCTATCAATTTAACCCGTTTGAAAGGAGGGTGACTGGTACAATCCGCGTCTAAATATCAAACTTTAAAAGATAATAAACCAAGAGGAGGAATTCCCGCTAAGCTTCTGAAAAGCCATCGCGAAAATTTTTTTCCTCGACAGTACATGATCCCCGCCCATGGGCATTTCCTCTACAAGATACCACCGATTCAATTTGTTATCTGAAGCCGGCATCTTTAGCCTTGGACATGTGCCTCGACTCCCGGTAGCACGGGGGTACAGTACAACAAGAGCTGCAGACAGAAGCCCATAGCTGGCCGATCAGACGAGCGTGGGGCGCGCAGCGAGCGCCGAGCGCCTTGCTCTGCAGGCAGAATGTGCAGAGCAGCGCACCGGCGTGCGCCTGGCTGCCTACTCCCGAGGGGCTCCCCGCACGGTCACGCGGCGAGGCACGGCCGCGGCACGGCTGGGGCACGTGTGCGGCGCACTTACACCTTGGCCCTATGGCGCCGCACGGACGGGACGGGCGGGCAAGCGCGAGCAAAGAGCGCCCACATAGGCGATATCTGCTCTGATACGGTACGGTGTACGCACATGTCGTGTGTCTGTTCCTGATACGCGCTTGCAGAATTGTTTTTCATTAACAAATATTAACACTTCTATATTTTACGTAGATAGATTGGCGTCGGAGAAAGTAAAACTTACGAAGGACTCTTTTTTTTATTTAAAACTGTAGAAGACGAGATGTTTGTTTTTTGTTTCTCCTGGATGAGAGGATAACGCCTGGGGATTAGGCAAACGCCGTTCCTGGGTGCTGCGCTGTTGAGCGGGCGGCCTACCCCAGGGTTGGCAGGGGCCCAGACGACCCTATCTTCGAACGCTGCTAGGCAGAAACGAACGAGTGAGTCACAGAAAAGTCGTGACTAATAAGTATTTTTTTATCGGCTACTCTGTTATTGGATACCCGGTCGCCACGACGACCCCTGCAGCCTGCAGGTGTCGCTCTGACCCTGATCGAGAAGAGTATAGCAGCAGAGCGGGGAGGCTGAATGTTGATCGGCCCCCGGGCCCGCGGCGGCTCTGCTCGGCTCGGCGACAAGCTCGGCGACCTGCTCCATATTAATGCCCACTCACCGACTCACCGCCGGATGTCGAAGCGGTGGGCGGTGGCGGCAGCGGGTGCGGGAGGCTGGCGGCGGCGCGTGGCAGCGAGGCGGCCCATACCTTATCGCCATGATTTTGCCAATCTTTCGTGTGGCGGGGCTCGTCTGGGAGTGGCGGGGCGGGCGGGGAGCGGGGGGCGATTGCCTGGTGCCAACCCCGTGAGAGTGGCAGCCCGCCGACGCATCCTCTACTATGCCTGGTGCTGGTGGTGTATCGCGTTATCTCGGTCTTCGGCGCTGTGGCGCGTCACGCCCGCCTATCAGCGGCGGCGCAGGTGAGTTCGCACCCCGTGCGGCACTGCCGGGCCCGACCCACACGCCGCGCCGGGGGCCGCCTCACAAAGTTGCGCGCGCGCTTTGGGGACGTGTGTTGTTTGCATCGCGAGCAGCGCCGGGGATCCCCCCGGACCACCCCGCCGCACCGTGGCGGAGGACGAGGCCCGCTGCTCCGCGCAGCCGCAGGCCGGCCTGCAGGAGGAGCAGGAGGATGGGCAGCAGGAAGAGGAGGTCGTCTTCAGGGACAAGAGCCCCCGGAGGAGGAGGCAGTCCGCGTCCCGAAGCAAGGCCATGTCGTACCTCGCCGCCGCGCTGGGCGTGGACAGGGCCATGCGGTACCTCAGCGACGACAGCCTGTACTCGGAGAACAGCAACGGCATGCGGAAGGCCGTCAGCTCCTTCGACGTGTTCCGCCGCGCCTCCGACGTCAGCATGGTGGTGGTCTCGACCGAGGACGTCGCCGAGGCCGTGGCGGCCGAGGAGAAGCAGGCGGCCGCCGCCAGGGCGGGGCGCGAACGGCAGGCCAGCGTGGGCAGCAACACCAGCAGGGGCAGCAACGGCAGCGCGGGCAGGGTGCGGCGCCGGCGCACCGTGTCCACCCGGGCGCGCGCCGGCACCTCCGGGGCCACCAGCGCGGCCGCCAACAAGCGCAAGTCGCTGCCGCTCTTCGCCATGAAGCTCTTCGGCCGCAAGGGCTCGTCCTCGGGCGAAGAGATCACCATGTCCAACCTCGACCTGGACACGGTCAACGACCACGGCGGCAGCTCCAGCAACGAGACCTCGAGCACGCCGGCCAGCCCCAACGGCGACCTCTATGCGTAAGTTCACGAGACGGGAGGGGAGAGGGAGAGGAGGGAAGGGGTCGAGGTTGCGGCCTTGGGTCGCGCTCGCAAAGAACACCTCTTGTCCGCCACGGCTCATTGGCATCGTCGCGAGGGGGGCTGGATTTAGGCGCGGGCCCCCATAAAGATAACCCCCGACTTGTCTATCTCCAACCTCGACGAGCGGCTACTACCTGCAGGAAGGGCGCCCGTCTGTTGCGGTGGTGGTGGTGGTGGTGGTGGTATGGTGGTGGTTAGGGTGGTCCAAACCCGCAACATGTTCGAAAAAGTTGGCGCTTGTGGAGGAAAAGTTTCGTTTCTACTCATAAATGATGCCTGAATTTTCGTGATTTTTTTGGACAAAATTTAGAGGGCGCGCGAGAGCCTCAAAGTTAACCCAGCATTCTTACAGGTATTTTGCCTAAAAGTGAAATTTGGCCATGGACTCCAAAGTTTATGTCCGAGAGCAAAAGTGAGTCCATAGCCGTAGTGTGCGTAAAAAAACGAGTCAGGAGACGCCTTGCTGGGCAATCTCATATTTATTTTGAAAATTGACAAATTTTTCAAATTTAACCAAATTTGTCAAATTTTATTTCTGAATGAGACGGCCTAACAGACCGTACAGCACGTCTCCTGACTCGGTTTTTACGTACATTACGGCCATGGACTTACTTTTGCTCTCGGACATAAACTTTTGGAGCCCATTGCCAAATTTCAGTTTTAGGCAAAATACCCGTAAGAATGCTGGGTTCACTTTGAGGCTCTCGCGCGACCTCTCAATTTTGTCAAAAAAATTCACGAAAATTCAGGCATCAGTTTTGAGTAGAAGCGAAACTTTTCCTCCACAAGCGCCAACTTTTTCGAGCATGTTGCGGGTTTGGACCACCCTAGTGGTGGTGGTGCTTGGTGGTGGAGCAGAAAAAGGTCAAAGGGGTAGGCTGGCTGCAGCGCCGCGGTCGGGGTGGTGATAGTGATAGTGGTGGTGATGACGGTAGTGGTGGTGGTGGTGCCGGTGGTGGTGGTGGTCCCGATACTGCTGGGACACGGCTGACCTTGGGGCTTGCCACGAGATGCTCTCCTCCTCTAGTTGGCTATGGCTCTCGACTCGAGGCGTCGCGTCGGATGACAAAAGGCGCTCCTTCCCCTATCGCTGCGGTCAGCGCGACGGCGGGGCCGCCGAGAGCATCCACCCCTTGTCTCTCCCCCCCAAAAAAAAGGTTAGCTAAAATAGCTAATCCATACGCTAATAATATTGCCTTAGATCACAATATTAGCTCTCTTAGCAATAATAATTAGCTAGGCGAACTAATATTCCAATTTTAAGGCCAAAGTAGCGAATTCATTAGCAAAATTTAGCTTATTCTTTTTTCTCCGTGCACCACCCAAATGACCCGCTCCGATTGTACATATACGCCCCCGCGTGCATGTCACGTGTGTACTCTGAATATTTCACCCTCCCTCTTTGGTTTACCGCGGCGGGCCGGCCAGTCACGCTCGCCGTGACCCTCGACACGACTCCCCGACCCTCACTGGTCTCCCGCGGGGCCCCGCCGCTCCCTGTGTGTGTGTGTGGCTTGTACTATACTCCTCTCCCCAAAGCACGCGCGCCCAACCGATCGCGCGGATGGCAAAAGAATTATTCATTCGACGAGTGGAAACACAACAACTAGAGGGAAAAAAAATCTGTCTCGACTCGTGTTATCCAACGAGTTTCGTCGTAAAGGACGGCCTAAAGTGGTGACGCTGTCTAATGCGGCCTAACTGATACTTCACAGCACGTTATCAGCCCACCTGCGCCCGCTCTCGGGACTGCCCGCCGACACCGCAAACTGCGGCCGTCCAGCAGCTAGGCGACCAAGTCGCCGAAAACCCAAAAAAGGACGACTTATAGGTCCCTGAAAACCTTCTCTGGCCACGGCCAACGGAGACACTCGCGAGCAAAATAAAAATAGTAATTGTCTGCTCGCGACGGCTTCTGCTTCTCGTCTGCGGTATTTATTTGAATCGCGCGCCATCATTTGTCGATCAAGAGCGTCACCATACTGCGTTGTTCCCACGGGGCGCTAACGACATGCGGTGACTCGCGGTGGCTATGGCTGACTCACACGGGTTGACGTTCCCTCAGGGGCTTTTCTGAACATCCGCCCCGCCCCCCCCCTCATTCGTACGCGCCCGCTCCAGCTGGCCGAGACCGAAAAGCAAAACCGCGAAGGGTAAAAAAAGGAAAACGAGACACGATTATTCAATGTATATCAACAGCGGCCCAAATGGAAGACTGCTACTGCATGAGGGTAGATGAGTGATATTTTTTCACCTTGTCAGACAGCTGTATTTGTAATCTCGATACATCCAAGGCGTCCACTCGAGGTTTCAGTAAATAACTACTCGACTGTTCTGCGCGTTCATCAAGTTTTGAAGAGGTGTCGTCTCCCATTCTGAAGGGGTATACAATCTAGAATTTGCACGAAACTTCAAATCACACGGCATAAGCTCGGTCGTGGGGCGAGGACGGATGACATAGGGCTGCCACCGAGCTGCAGCAGAGTGCGCCTCCCTCGGCCTACGGGGTGGTTGTTTGGGGGTTCCCCGGGGGGCCACGCTCCCCCACACCACGCCACGCCACGCTGCGCCACGCCGCGCTGCGCCACGCCGCGCTGCGCCACGCCGCGCCGCGCCATTCCCACGACGATTGGCGCGAGAGCGCGCGCGCGGATTTCAAAGTTTGACTTTCCGTGTCGCGAACACTTCCATCACCGGAGTCCGCGGCGCGGAGGGAAACGCCGAGTTTGTTCTCGTCTCCCACAGCTGTTCGCGTGCCGGCTCTGCGCCGCGAGTCGCGAAAATAATGAGCGTGACTACTGGCGCCGCCGCCGCGCGGTTTAATTTGCGCTGCTCGAGCGGATCCGGCATTATACATATACAGTGTGGCGCGCCATTCAAAGAAACAGAGTGTTAGAGTAGCGGCGCGTTATAGAAAGGCTCAAAGGAAGTAATGAGTGTGCTTAGAGAGAGGAGCATGCGCGCGAGCGTAAATGTGTTAGAGCTGTGTATAAAAAAAAAAGGTATCCGTGCAACGATTTAGCGTGCGCAGTGCTGAATGAATCAATAATTTTGTGACCTCTGTAATATGCCGCACGAGTTTAGTGAGGCCTGAAAGGTCACAGCTAGAAACGTTTTGCAAAACTTTGACAATTGGCGTTGGGTTTTTTTTCCCCGTGGTTAATAATGAACAATATCAACACATTTATACCTTGCTGAAAGTTTTATCTAATATCGCGGGGATTTAGGTGACCAACTTTCGTGCGCTCCGGCTAGCAAATCGCATTCTGGGTCCAGTGCCGACGAGACGACCGCGGCCAGAAGGGGCTCCTGTTGGGGTTGGCCGTCCCCGCCTCCCCCGCCTC